CGTGTGCACTTTAAAGAACCCGGTACATCATTCGAGAAGAGTAGGGGGTTACCCCGGTGTACTGGTCCATTAAGTCCCCTGTTGTTAAATGGATATGCCACGTAGGACAGTGATTAAGTTCACTTATTGGCATATCCTTGGCCCTCGTGCCTAAAGAAATGAAATGAAATAGGAACTCTAGTAGCGTATCTACTCGGGCGCCCTCACACATACACTAGAAATTTGTAGAGCAAACGAAATAAATAAAATATCTAAAATAGTATGATCAGGGCCCAGGATTAAAATATCACCTTAATGCCCCAGCTATCGTCATCTTACCTTCTTATCCCATTCACTCTCATGTTAATTCACGAGATACAACTCTGTTGTAAAGGTTTTTTTTTCTTTATTACAGAGAGAAGATTAAGATATTTACAAGTATCTTATATTTAGAAAAAATATGGATTTTTTTTTATATATCCTGACAACCAACTGGTGATGGTGGCTAAATCTTTATATGACGCAAATTCCAAAACTGATATTATTGACCTACTTTTAAAAAAAAATTCAATTATGAATAATTCATGCTTAATCTATAGAAAGGACTTTTTAAAAAGTCTTACTAAAAAGTCCATAGTATAATGTATGCCGCATCCAATCTATTTTTTTTTTTCAAGAAACTAGTAGATCGCCAAATGAATTACAGTAATGAAAATGAATTCACTCTCCTCTGAGTAAAAAAAACAAAACCCAAAAAACTAAATATTTATTTAGTGATTTAAATTTGTTTAAAGAAAGATGTATATTTATTATATAATTTGAAAGAGGCACAGTACCAAGTTGCCCTATGTAAAGTTTGGTTTCCATACAACCGCTGCTATCGCCGACAGCTTTCGGTTAAGCTCGGTTTCCATAGAATCGCTCACCCTTTCGGCGACAGTCGCTGACTGTTGTCGGGATGGTAGAACCTGTTTCAACTTTGCTGATTGCGTTTTATTCAAGGCACATTGCCAGCTGCCCTGACGCAATCGGGAAGGCACCCCGAATCGTCTGCAACGCAATCGGCAAAACTTTCCACGTTTAACCTTTTAAGGAAACCAGGCTTTATGCTGATTGGTCGATCGAATCGGGGAACCGTCCCGATTGCGCCGGAAACTGCTACTCAGTACAACGATTGCACTGAAAACAGATTGCACTGAAAACACTGTAGCGACAGTGTAGCGATTTTTAAGGAAACCAGCGAGTGCGTTCATTGAACGCCGTAAGAAATAGAATACACTTAAATGTACTTGATAGAATAGGAGCAATAGGGGGGGGGGGGGACAACCCTGTAGCTATAAGCCGGTAATTCACGACTCACGATTTAATTAATTTACGATAGTTAATTATACGACATGGTAAATGAATATAGTATGGCATAACAAAGGTTATTCATTTAACGTCAGCAGCATTAAATTAAACGTGATCAACGCAGCAGCATTATGTAAAGGCCAACTCACCACTAGTGCATTCGGAATTATGTAAGAATCAGTAATAATATGCTTGTTAAACTTTGTTATGCATTGTGTCAGCCACTAGCAAATTACTCTTCGTAAGAAAAAAAAATATTTACGGTTCAAAATTTACACCAACCATTGTAATCATAATCCGTACACGATTTAGATACATATATATGCTGTATATTGAATTTGTATGTCTAACAGGTTCTCACATTTTAATAATACGGAATTATTTATAAGAGCAGAGCGAATATTTTTTTTCATAACATTTTCTGGACCTTTTGATTTAACTAGACAAAAGGCTGAATACACTAAATAAAATACAAGAAACAATAATACTGTAGCAAGAGAATATATACATTAAACTCGTAAAATTAATTATAGAATGGTTGCAAATCTTACTTGTTATATAAGGTTATATCTGGCATCCAAACCTTTGATGTTGGTACCTTCAGGTTGCGAATTCCAGTAAAATTACCAGGAAACCAACGTAAATATTCGTCAGTCCAAATCTGTTAGTAAGTTAGGCCTATACAATTAATATCAACGGCGATGTACAGATTTTGTCCAATTATAAGGATATTAAACGTTATTGAAGTGAGTGAATTCGTAAATTTAGGCTTACACGGTAAGTATGGTACGTACATTATGAATCACAGTTAGAATATCGAGTCAAGTGGCTGAGCGGTAAGGCAGGACGCCGCTAACTACAGCTTCAACATCATCGACGCTGGTTCGAGCCCCTCCATACCCAGATTTCGGTTTTTTAGAAGTTTTCTCGGATAAGGACTTAAAATGGAGGTCCAGTGTACACATCTGGCTCGTGTGCACTTAAAGAACCCATTGCATCTTCCGGAAGAGTAGATTGTTCATCCGGGCCCCTGTCGTTGGGTAATTATGTGAACATGAATCTATTATAAACACCACGCTCATACGCAATTCAGCACAATGACGCTGAGAGTTATGGGTTTATCCTACCTTTACCTGTATCATAAGATTTACAACATAAAACCAGGGAACAGTGAAATTAAAAGTGGCATACCTACTGCAGGTTCAGGCGGTTCATTGAACCAGAGCCCCCGATCTCCAAGGGGCCCCGATTTTTAGGGGCACCGCTCCCTTATAAATTATAATAATCAAAGCAATGCATATATACAAATCTGGGTTGATAGTATTTATGTATATATAATGAACATTAAAATTTAAAATTGTTAATAATGTTAAAATAATCAATTAGGCCTATACATGCAGTTCAGAGAAACTCGGGACAAAATTCTCTGGTGGGGTTCAAATTGTAATTATAGACCACAATATTAGGGATTCGCATCACCGTATAACTTTTGGATTGGGCCATAAAATTAATATATCAGTTCAACGACGGCCTCGTCGTGGCGTCGTCGACGGGGTGGGGTCTCCAGGCTTTTCGGACGGGGAGGAGGGGATACTGATTTTTACGCAGGGTATTATACCCTGTGTATATTCATAACATATGTTTTATTCAATTAGGCCTACGACGTCTTTTTTATATTTATTTCACAATACCCGTCAACTCGTATAAATATAATAGGCCTATTCATTGTTATTCATATTGCATTAAAATAATGCGTTCGTGATTATTTACTTATTGTTAATAAGCATACTGTACCCTTGGTAATCATAACACCTGTTTTATTTAATTAGGCCGCATTTATCTTTTTTGTATGTATTCCACAATATCTGTTATCTCGTATAACACTTTATTTATTCATGGAGGAATTCATTCATGTCGGTGATGATAATTTTGTCAACCTAAACACTAAATATTAACCCATGCCTATAAAGGTTTCTTTCTTTTAAAATGTTCATAGTAGGCCTATGTACTTTTTACTTCCATAATTAATCATTATTCAAGCACCAGAAAGCTAGACTGGAAGAGTGTTCTGTGGGAACAAAATAGTCCAACTAAACTGTAGATTAAATGTAGACCACTTTAAACTAAAAACCCATTTTACACCTAAAATATAACTAATAATATGGACCCACCTTTAAAAAAGAACCAATTTCAATCGTATAAATTCAATAATTTTGACCATTTAAAAAAGTTTACATTTCTCAAGCATAAAATCCGGCTAATGTGGACCCTTCTTTTAAAATATGGATCCATTTCGTGCATATATACTGAAAAATGTGGAACATTTTACAAACTAGGACCCATTTTATGCGTGAAGCTAATAAAGTGGACCCACATTTTTAAAAAGTTGACAATATTTAAATATCCACAGCTACAGGATTTTGGAGTTAGTTATTTTTATGATTTTTTGTCATTTTCAAGAGACAATACATCTTTAAACCTTGTTTACATTGATGTCCAGAAAAAAAATGTGAGTTAATGATGATCATAATTATAATGAGGGGATGATGATAACAATGACGGTTATGATGAAGGTGATAATGACTACGATGACAATAATGACGACAATGATGATGTTGATGGCGATGACGTCGACGATGATGATAAACGGTAATGAGGTTGATGTAGGTGTTGGCATGTTTGAGAGTGATGGGAAAAACTAATGCAGACTAAAGTGAAGTGAGTTCAATCTGGAATCAAACCGAAAAAATGCCCCCGTTCAGGGTGCAGGGATAAAAGCCCCTAGAAAAATCAGCAGTTTTGATTTGGTAAAGTCTAATTTAGGTGGCTATGTTATTTTTAGTCTTATAATAGACCTAGTAGGCCTAATACTTCCAGAAAGCAAGCGATCCTCCGATTGACCTACAGGGACTAGAAAGCCCTGAATAAAAAGTTGGTTGTTCTCGTAGTAATGTATTTATCAATAAAAATGTTTGGATTTAATTTATTTATCCTTGCTTTTCATCGCACTGTAATGGTTAATTTTGTTGAGCACCGCACCCCCTTACAAACATGGACATCCCCCACCATCTTTCGTCCGACGCCACGACGAGGTCGTGAGACTAAACTAATCTTTAAATCCAATCAAGTTGCGGCTACCATTCCCTAATATTGTGGTCTAAAAGTATAAATTGTGGATGCCCAAAAATCTCATCTGGCAATCCCCCCGCCCCATCAAGGGGTAAAGTTGGTGTATAAATTCATACCTGTAAATTTTGAAAATGTGCTGCAAAGCAACTACCCCTATTCCAACCCCATGCTGGACCAGATACAAGATTGAAAGTTAGTGGAAGTGGGCTAGATACTGTACCCTCTATCTCAGGTCCATCGTACCATGATTGAAAAAGCCAATGCGATGCGTACATTCATATAATTCATAATTATCATTATATATTTATTTCAGAAATTAATGAAATTTAAAAAAAAGTGGTCCGGCCATAGCCGGTGCTACCGGTGCGCTTCCGACAGCCCTGTATATATCTAACTAATATGGACCCACATTTAAAAATAGAACCCATTTAAAATATACCTAATATGAACACATTTAATGCTGAATAATGTGGACAAATTGCATGCATATCAACTCAATAGATGGCTACGGAACCAGATAACTTTAATCAGGAACGACAAAGGGGTCCGGATGTATATCCACATGAGCAATTGACATTAGGCCTACTACACTTACCACGCGGTACACATCAGTTGTACCTACGCCCAATGACACGAGAGTTTTCCGCTGATCTCGGAAAACCTTTTCATTTTTGTTGAAAGATTAACTGTTCCATTGCATCCAAAAGCATTCATTATTTGTATACTTACTGTAGAACGTAGAACTTACCAATGTTATCCAAGAATTACTCTTCAGTGTCTGCATTCGTTCATCCTTCAATAATTTAATTGATAAAGAAAAAAAAAACGGATCATATTTAATTCAAAATTTTCGTAATAGTGAACGAACTAAATATTGAGCGAGCAAAATGGCCGAGCGGTTAAGGCGGGGCACCGTGATCATAGCCAGCAATATCGGCACAGGTTCGCGGCCGGCTCGCTCCTTTAGTTCTGGTGGTGGAACAAGTCTTCTCGGATAAGGACATGTGAACTTTAAAGAACCCAGTACATCTTTCGAGATAAGTAGGGGATTACCCCGGTGTACTGATTCACTCGGCCCCTGATTCTAATTAAGGACGATGACCGTCATTTCAATGGATCTTTCCCGAATGTCAATCAAACTGAACAACAGACCAATCAGAACAGAACAACAATGTCGTCTGTCGCAAGATAATTATTTAGAAGTATTAGATTAGGTAGGAATTATGTTTTGCCCTAACTTTCGTGTTATTATGCTCAGTACGTTCCCAAATACTTGCGAAAAAATATCGCAAGTGATAGGCCTACGCGTTGGAACCGAACCACGGCCTCCAGATAACTATCCTAGTGTCATAAACACTAGACCACCGAGCTGGCGGTTAGTGGCTAGTTTTGAATCCGATGCCTAACTAAAGCCGGACACTCACTCCGTCGTACGACCAATTCAACTCCACTTGCGGAGAGTGATAGACGACGCGACGCCGTCTGCTGCTTATCGGTGGAAGTCTAAAAAAAATCCGTTGCACGCGCGTCGTCGCGTTGCCAATTGTCATAGAGGCGACGACCGTCGGGCACACAGTGAGTGCCCGGCTTAATGCTATTTCGACTAAGGGTGGCGCCAGCAGGGGGGGAGAGCTGGGGCCCCCACCCCGTCGGGGAGAAAAATCACAATTCGTCGGGGAGAAAAAAAATATGTATTTTTTATATTAGTAGACTCTAAAATCGATTAAATAAACCTTTGAAACTCCTAAATTGTCAATATTTTCGGGGGCTTCACCCCCAGGACCACTTTCAGAACCTTTTAGTCGAAGCTCGACCACGCGCACTTTGCTTTTGTCGGGGAAATCTGACCCCTCGTCGGGGCACCGGCGGGG